ATAGCAGCAGCAACATCCATAGCAGCAGCAACATCCATAGCAGCAGCAACATCCATAGCAGCAGCAACATCCATGGCAGCAGCAACCACTCCGACTCTCGCGACACCAGCCCTCACCCACAGTCCCAGACTACTGCCCCTCAACGAGTCAACATAGACTGGCAAACCGTTGCCGGGCAGGGCAGAGTTGCACAGGGCCCCAGATTCAACCTGCAGCTGGGCCTGCAGCTGGGCCTGCAGTTGGTTCTCTTCCCGGTCCTGTTGAAACGTTCCAATGCTAGCCCAGGCGAGATGGGAAAGATGGGTGGGTGCAAGGTCCAAGGTACCTACAAAGATACCTAAGGTAAGGTACAACTACCTAGGCACGAACTCACAAATCTAAGCCAAGGTTGCCCAAAAGGTACCTGCTGCAGGTGGGTACCGACCTAGGAGGTACTTAGGTGCCGTACCCACCTACCCAGGCCCTCCATCCATTTCCCCTCCCCACCGCTCTCTTTCAACCCAGCAGTTCTCACAAACTCCCCGCCTTCTCGTAACTGTCCCTGTCGAGTGCCCGTCACCAATCACCATCCTCAAGCTCTCACCCAGCTCATCAATAAGTAGGTACCTAGGTAGATATCCAATTGACAAAGATTTCCAACGACAGTCCGGGTGAGCCGGTACTCCCTCCCCTCCGTGATAGTCGCCGCGTCAACAGCCTCCTCATCCTCTCCTGCAGTCTGCACTCTGCAGTCCCCCGAGTCTCCCCTCCTTGGATCGCTTCGCTTTCGCGCTGCCGCTCCGAGCAACAAGCCAACAACGCGGCGCGGCGCGCTTGTTCTGTCCATCAGCATCTGCCATCATCGCCGTGCGGTTCGACTTCGCCGCTCAGGGCTTGCAGCAGCCAGCAAGCCAGCAACGCTTGCAGCTCGTCCGACGTCCATCCTCAGCTCAGCAAGGAAAGCCTTTGGCGATAGAGCCCCTGTCTGGCCGTCCGATTCGCCAGCCTTGAGCATCTCGGAGCTCTCCCAACGACGTCGTTGCGCACCCACGCTTCTTTGCTTCTTCCCTCCCACTATTGGTCGCTTGAACGAGGCTCAATCTAGCCTGACTCCAATCCTTAAGGCTTGTCCCGCTGCTGAAGCGCGCAATCAGAGGCTTGGTACGGCGGAAGGCCCGTGACCATCTTCGGCTTGCCCAAACCGGATCATGTTTCGCTTTGAGTCGCGTGGTCAGCCCGTCGTCTACTCTTGGCAACCTTAGGCAGTTGGCGGCCTTTGCTCATCAACCGCTCCGGCCGCAGATCGAGGTTCCGCTTCACAATCTCTGATTCTGACAATTCCTGACCCCTTGGGCAACGTCATGATGGGCATTATTACTCTACAGACTCCAAGGCATAAGTAATGATGCATCATGCTACAAAAGAGACCAGCGTCCGCCTGTTTTGATATGGCAACTTGACGCTGTCAACCTCTTCAGCCACTGTTTTGTCAGACAACTTCAAGGACAAGTCACCACTTCTGTCTTGGATACGCACCGTCGTAACCCCGCGACTCTCCGATCTCCATGGTTGCTTTCGTATCCCGCTCCTCCTCCGACGCTCCCCCTCGCCAGCACTGGAACGCCTTCACAACTTCACAGTACGGACTACGGAGAGTGCCTGGCGGCCCTGGCCCTCGGGCCTCTGGTGCGAAGCTGACCTGACCGCAGTCAGGATTCAGGTATCAGGGATTCAAGATGCAACGTGCCGCTTGGCGCACTCCGTTTCTGCGCCATGAGAGGCTCCAGTCCAGGATCCGTCGACGCCTGTGTAAGAGCCTTGCAACTTGCAAGGGTCGCGGGTGATGACGGCGGTTGGACCGCTGTCGGTTGTTGCGTTGCTGTGGCGCTCGGCTGAAGAACGTTGAGGGGGGAAAAACCTAGGGCGCAACGCGTCTGGCCGACATAAAAGTAAATAGAGGTCAAAGCTCATCACGACATCTCGTGATTGGGAAACACGTAATCTTGGCCAACGTAACCTCTATTAGGTAAGCAGCTCCACACTCAGGTGACACACCCACACCCAGGGCCCGAATCTATCAAGCACCCGTTCTCCAAGTCGCAGACACATTCTCCAGAGCAGCCAGAACCGTCATTGAAACCGTCATGTATGGACGAAACGCTTCCATCTCTCTTCACATTGGATTTGTCTTTTATTTTTCTGAATGGCGATACCAGTTGCGGGAATCAATCCCTTGCTTCAGAAAGCTGCACAGCTGTGTTCCAGGTCGAATCTGAGGGTAAAAGAGGTACAGATTGGGCTTCCGTGCTTCGCCGTTATTCTAAACTTTGCATCAAGTATTCTTCTGTACGAACTGAACCTTTTCCTCCAAAGTGTAACCAAATGTCTGTCGTTGCAGCAAGCCGCAGGAAGGAAGCACTGAGCGTTTCATACATGACTTCTTCAAACTTTATATAACTTAGCTCTTGACTTTCGAGACACCCTTCAGTCCGCAGCTATCTTGCCGCAAAGATAGCGTTGTTGGCTGCCTCGGCAAGGTCCTCCATATAGGTGTGTCTGATTCTCATTGGACTCTTTCAAATTGGAGTCTTTAGTTTGGAGATGCTTCATTGGGATTAGGGTAGCGAGAGATATTTACGAGACCCGTCTTTTCTTGACATCTAACAAGTTTATTGTGCCTGTCACAAACATATAGGCAGCGTGCTTGATCTGCCAAATGTATTGATGTATTTTGAGAGCGCTGAAAGCAACCGGTTCCCTGTACAGCGGATTTTGACTTATCATTAACTTACATGTAGGAAAGTACCTACATGCTCCCGTCTGTGCTCGAACGTTGCCTTATAACAGAACGAATATTAGATGCGAGCCCAACTGCTCTCAAATACAGAGTGACATCCGCATTTCATCAACGACAACGTGGATATGGCACCTAGGTAGGTATAGGCATCAACAGCCAGTGATAATCCTAACTGAGCAAAAGCCAGTCCCTGCCTAGGAGCGTAGGAGGTTCCAATTGCTGTGGAGCCAAAGAGATAAATGATAGATAATCAAATCTGGTCTGAGCAAAAATACGGCCTGAGCCTCGTGGTGTGCAGGAAAAGTCTACTTACCTAAAGTACTACCTAACAGGTACCCAGTAAATCAGGATGCGAAATAGAACTCGCAGCGTTTCGTTGTCGATTTGACCGGAGTAAGAAGACCCATAGCTGTGAATCTTACCTTGCACTAGCCAAAAAGAATCCAGGAAAAAAAGGGCCTGGTCGGAATCGAACCAACGACACTAGGATGAAGACCACAGCTGACTGCAATCCCATACTCTACCACTGAGCTACAAGCCCGGATTTCGGTATCACATAATTTAGACGTTCTATGATCGCTGTAAAAAAGGCGGGGCAGAGAGGAGAGCTCAAGCGACGACGTGATGGGCACGTGCGCATGCGAGCGCCAAGAATGACTGAGAAAACTACTCATCCATTCAAAAGTGCACCACCACGTTGAACCAAACCAGTGCTTTGTATCTCAAGATGGGCAAGAAAAGACCGAGAGAAAAAGCTGGTGCTTTGCAAGACAACCCAAATGCCCAACCGGCTAAGAAGTCCAAGAAAATCCCCCGAACCGATCTGAAGCCCGGCTCACTTATTGAGAAGTCTCTCCAAAATCTATCCAGCGCAAAAGTCAATGTTCGGATCGCGGCAGCCGAGGGCCTCATTCTGGCGACGTTTGCTAAAGAGTCGACAAATATCCACACTGTAAAGGACGTCCTCTCAAAACTTCTTCAAGGCATCTGTAGCAGCCAAAAAACCACCCGATCTGGCTTCTTCACTGCCTTGACTGAATTTCTACGCCAACTATACGAGTCCGATGACCAATATGGTCTTGCGCTCAGTATCTCTGACTTGATTGATCTGGTGAAAAAGCAGAGCAAGTTGGAATCTCAGAATGTTAGAATCCCGGCATTCAGGCCCCTCCTCTCCTACCTGGGTAATTAACAAGAATCATAGGAAGCAACAGACTCGCAAATCGGGCGTGTATCTGCCTATGCTGCCATAATTAGATCCTCTATTCTCTTTCGATCAGAAGCCTCCCGTCAACATGGCACGAAACTCCTCGAGGATTTGTTCCGTTTGTACACGAAGTCGCCTTCCGCCCGAGAAGAATCTGCACATCTACTCGTCGGCTGCCTCAAATCTGCAAAGGGTGAGGCTAGGTTTCTGAGCGAGGCAGTCTGCCAACTGGACTCAAACGGGTTGAGCAAAACCCCTGAAGGAGTCACAATATGGCTCACCATTTCGTCCATTGAACCGAAGGCCAAGCTTCCAAAGGGTGTTTGGCGCCATAGGGACCCATTAGACTCCAGGGAGAGAGAATCAATTTCAGCCATCCTGAAAGAAGCATCCGTTACCGGCGAAAATGCAAAATGCGAGGCAACCCTGTCCCATTCTGTGAACCTCGCGTGGGACGTGGTTATGCTGCATATGATTCAGCGGCTAGAGCAACGCAAGCTTTCTACTGAGACTATCATAGCATTCTCCAAGTTCTGGTCTGATTTGGTTGATGGTATGTGGTCTGATGACAGCAGAATGAGTTATCCACTAATGGGTTCTAGTGAATATGTGTGCACCATCCGCGCCATTTCATCACAAACAGGCTTCCATTCTCATCTCTTCAAAGATTCTATCGACGTGTCCGAACTGGGTTTTACCCGCAATTTTCAGCCCCAACTTGATGAAGTTCCTCGGTGATCAACGGAACAATACGAAGCAGCGTGAGCACAATCCGGCCTCTATCTTCTTACACGCAATTGAAGAGCGAGCCAGGATCTCCCCTGGAGACTGTGTTGTTCTTGTATCCCAATTACTTCAGAAAGACCATACCAATTTTGATCAAGCCATGAAATTCAGGGTCATGGAAAGAATACTTGTCGCCGCAGATGAGAGCTCTCTATTGGAGATATCTAGCGTCCTCGAGGCGTGTCTGTTGCGCTCGGAAGACAGAGATTCAAAAAGTGCAGCGACACAGCGACGATGGCTGGCTGACCTAATTGTGGTTGTCGTCAAGTCGCGTACCCATATACCATCGGTTTCAATGGATCCAGGAGTGAACTGGCTAGTTTGCACATTGGGAATCCTCGCCAAGGCTGCATATCTGGATGAAGACAAGCTGGACACAATTCCGAATCCGAACTTGTCAAGCGAGACTCGCTCCATGTTTCACACGAAGCTGCTTACATGCCTAACGCACGTTGTGAGTGCCAAATCGAAGGAAAACAATGCTGCATACCCCTATCTCATGGTCAATCTGTTCAAACCAATGTTGGATGTTGCAGGCAAGACGGGTATTGTTGCTTCGATTAGTGACAAAGAAGTGCGACAACTTCTTCAAAGCTCATACTCGGTACTAGCCAGCATTACGGACGCTATCACGTCCAGCCAGACCGACAATAGTCTCACACACCAGGCTTTTCGACTCACTATGTGCTTCAGCATTTTTCAAGTATACAGTGGAGATGTGGACGCCGCATCGGTAATTGAAGAGCTTATCAGCTCTTGGTCTCCAGGCGAGAATTCCCCCACGTATCAAAGCGATGTAGTGTCGCAGCTTACGGAGGTCACCCTTAGCTTCGTTTCTCGACAGTCAGCGGTGCTACGCAAGGTCGGGGAAGTAGTATTCACTTCCTTCGCCTCGAATGTCGGCAGAGACAGCCTTGACGCACTGCTTGCAATATTACAAAAGTCTGAGAACTTGGACGGGCAGAACGAGCTGTTCGACGCTGATGGTGGTGCAGAAGAAAACGATGTCGGGAATGTCGAAATCGACTTGGACGTCGAGGTCATTGGTGGGCCCGGTAATGATTCTGAAGATGAAGCTTCGTCAGACGAGGAAGAGAGTGAGGAGGGCAGTGCTACTTCCAGTGGAAGCGACGGCGACGAGGGGCCAGCAGAACAGGAATCAGAGGGGGATCAAGCAGAATTGCTGAAGTTTGACCTACTCCTAGCAGACGCACTCAAAACTGGCCAGGATGGTGAAGACGACTCAGACGAGGACATGGATGATGAACAAATGATGGCCTTGGAGCCTCACTTGGCAAAGATCTTCAAGGAAAGGACCAAGATTACGAGCAGAAAGAAGGAGAACAAGGATGCAAAAGAGACGATACTGAACTTCAAGAACCGCGTGTTGGACCTGTTGCACATCTACGTCAAGCAAGAGCATGCGAAACCCCTGGCATTGGACACTATTTCACCCCTATTGAGACTCATCCGCACTACAACGAATCGACAGACAGCAGAAAAGGGGTTTGCGTGCTTAAAAACCTATTTCGATGCCTGCAAAGGCAAAGAGTTGCCTGTTCCCGGGGAAGGCGAAGGTATCGATCTGGAGCTCCTACTCGCTCACATACACGAAGAAGCCAGTAAAGATGGGTCCAAGATGTTCTCAATTGCTTGCAGCCGGGCCAGCCTCTTTGTTGTCAGGGTGCTTGTTCATATGGATCCTGCCAACTATGCTCGAGCGGTGGATGTGTATGCGGAAACTCAGAAGAAATGGTTCTTGGATTCCAAGTCCAAGTTGCAAGCGTCATTCTTCACGCAATGGGCCAGTTGGTCGGTCAATTCGCGGAAGCGTGAGCAGCCGTGGGAAAGTAAGGATGGAAACACGATTGCTAGTGGAGACTTTAACAAGGTCTGATCGGAAAGAAAAAGGGAGTTCAGTGGGCAGAGTAGGCGGTGCAGGCAGTTTAGGCAGTGTAGGTAGGCAGAGTACCTAGGTAATCCTTTCACGAGACCTGTGTGTAGTCTGTACTACCGTGTCTGGCATTGAGCATATATTGTGCTGGCAACAACATTTGGGCTGTTTGGATAGGATTGTTAATGGCACATATGTTGCTGATGATGTGCCTTCGTGTGCCGTCATGTGCTGCCCACGGGTTTTGTCACTTTGAGGAACAGCCCGAACCTCAGCCGAGTCCAAGGACGTGAAGAGTGAGGGTAGCTTAGAGGCACAGGAGGGCTGAGGGCACAGAAGTGTGGAGGCCCGGGGAGGGGCTGTGGGGGCACAGGGGTGTGGGGGGAGCTTGCCGGGTGATGTCATTGTTGATTGCTGTGGCTCAGCTCTCGCTCAACATCACTTTTTGGATTGCGAATGTGGCTGGAGCTATGCGGCTCTTTGCACCGTTGCTGCTAAGGTTGCACCCTCCGACCTCAGCCTCCACACCGTTTCCTGTCAACTGTTAACTTTATTCCACTGCGTGCTGCATTCCCCGCCTTCAACGTCCCTGTCTTCTCTTTACACCACACCTGCACCCACCTGGCGACACGGCAAACGTCACGGTCGCTCCTCAACGGTGAACAAGATGTCCTCCAGCTGCAAACACGTGAGCTCGCCAGAGCTGCGTCCACCTGCTCCCACCCAACCTGTCTACCGCGAAGACTGCACCCAGTGCTTTGACTCGGTTGACGATCCCTCCGGCCTCGACGTCTGCTTGTTCTGCTTCAACGGCGGTTGCGCCGGCGACCGCAACCATGCTCTCCTCCACTTCGAAGGCACAAAACACCCGCTCGTCCTCAACATCAAGCGCACTCGCAAGAAGGTCAGGCGTGATGAGCCTCCCCACAAGATGTCGAAGCTCGCCATTGCTGCCGAGACTGAGGCAGATCGCTACGATACAGTCACTGAAGTCAAGTGCTACGAATGCGAGCTGACTGACATCCCAAAGTCTGCTGGGAAGCTACCGGAGGCAGTCGAGGCTGTGCTCAAGGCAAATACATTTGCGAGGCAGGAAGAGGTCAAGGCATGGGAGCAAGAGATGACGCCCTGTGAGCATACACTGTGTCTGGAGCAGCATACGGCCCGACAAATTGAGTCGCAGAGTTTGGGTCACTGCTCGAAGTGCCATCTGAAAGACAACCTGTGGCTCTGTCTTACTTGTGGCAACCTCGGATGCGGACGTGCCCAGTTCGGAGGCATTGGCGGTAATTCTCACGCGCTGGCGCACACGGACGAGGCAGAACACCCTGTGGCTGTCAAACTCGGCTCGTTGACTGCTGACGGCACCGCCGATATCTATTGCTATGCCTGCAATGAAGAACGCATGGATCCTGATTTGCCGGCACACCTTGCAAACTGGGGGATCAATATTGCTGATCGCCAGAAGACAGAGAAGAGCCTGACGGAAATGCAAATTGAACAAAATTTGCGCTGGGAGTTCTCCATGACGACGGAGGACGGAAAGGAGCTGCGACCCATCTTTGGTGGCGAGTTCACTGGCTTGAAAAACCTCGGTAATAGCTGTTACATGAACAGTGTCCTGCAGTCTCTTTTCTCCTTCCCAGAGTTCTCC